TTCAATTTCCTCCTGGCTTGTCAATCGCCTTAGAACTTAATTACCCAGTGAAACTTAACAGTTACAAATATACAGTTAATCAGTGTTCCAGTAGGGAACTTAACTATTGCTGCATTTGCAACAAAAAAGGACATATTGCACTGTTCTAACAGCAAAAGGTGTTCTCAAGGTACAGGTCATGCTGTGATTTATTGGACAATTAAACCAAAACAGTGCTACGAAATTCAGTCCAAAAGGACAAGAAGAAAAAATTCTCAAAGGAAACTGAGCTATTCATCCAAAACACCTTGCAATAATTTAAAGGAAACACAAATACAAAAGGATGTTAAAAATATTTCATTTGTAGGAGCTCAAGTTAAAAAAAGACAAGGAGAAGGGATTTCAGCTGCAGGCTGGATGCAGGCACGGTCCATATTCATTATTTTAAGGAAAGGCAAACAAGAAAATGAATTCTTTTGAATTAGAAGGATTATCTCCTCTTTCTTATGCCATCAGAGTGGTTTCTACAGTATGAAAGAGCCAACAGATGTCTATCAGATATTCCTCTGTCAGGGAGGGCTAGGGGGAGTAGGGGGTCTCTGTCTCAGATATGACTTTTACTGCCATGTGCCAACTGTGCAGCGCTCAGCAGATGACTTCCACTGCCGGTGAAGGGCTGCCTCCTCCGTCACGCTAAAGCACGTTCCAACCCCCCCAGCCCCCAATGCACACATTAGTTCGGTCACCCCCACATCCATTCACAGGACCCAGCAAGCTACAATGGACTTCATTTCCCCAAGGTCAGCCCCAGCCAACACTAAAAAAATAACAGTGGATTTTGTTTTCCTTTTCCTCTTGTTCTGTCAATGATTGTGAATGGAATAAAAACCTTATTCCAAATGTATGAGCCCTGAGCCTTGGTTCTGAAGTGTAAACTACATAGTGAATGTACAATTTGTTACAGACCTCTTACTCAAAATATCTGTGGAAGTGGTCACACGGTTTTAAGTTGTATCTTGCATGTGAAAATATAATTATTAGTCATCAGAAAATTTTAGTGGGTGTTAAACAGCAAGACTAAAAATAAAAAAGTACTTTTAGCAAAAATCTCTAATGGTACCAAAAGGCAAAGAAATCAGTACAACAGTCAAGCACATATTTGTGTAGATGAAAAAATTCAGCTTTGTTCATTGTTCCTACAGCTGCTAAAGTTCTAGGGAACAGTAAAGAAACACTGAGCAGAATGGTTTTAAATCCTTCCCTATATACTGTAGCAAATAATGTTATATTGCCTGGAAAGACAAAGCTTAATCAGTAACCTCTGGAGTAGAGCAAATGAGCAATCCATTAATAGAGATGTCTTTGTTTGTATGTATCTTTACTATTGAGTGTATAATGCTACTGCACTAAAGCAATGTGAAAATAAAGGAGAGATGGATATGTTTCAGAATATGGACATTTGGAAATTGTGTGCATTACACATTAACTAAAGAATGCTAAACAGGAGACAGGCTTTCTTTGAGAGGCTGTTGACTGTACTGTATGTTAAAGGAAAATGTTCAGGTCACACCATTACCTCTTACAGCTTGGAAAAACAGAGTTGTTGAAACAAGGATTATCTTTACAATGGGTTAAGTACTGGCTAATCATAGAAGTCAGCACCTTAACATGATAAATCTTTTTAGGGTTAAAATATATTTTAATAGTTTTTTATAGTTTATCAATGATAGTCATGGATAGAAAATAATTTCACTACCAGCTTTTTACATGGTTTATTTAAAAAAGTTTCAAAAGGTATTAATGAGAAAAAAATCCAAATTCAATTAGGTATCTTAGACATTCCTTCCAAAACTGCATTTTTTTCTCACAAATAGCATTGACAGCTCTATCTTTGTTTCAGTGTGAACAGTGTGCTTTAAGGAGATTCTAGACAGGGAGAAAGCCTTCTCGTTTCTCTAGGAAAGAGAAAAGAAAACATTTTGCAGGTTTGTAATTATTCAGTAGAATGCCCTGAATCACTAACGAAATATCCTGCTTAAGAGTTGATACAAGTTTAAAGCCTTGTAAATTTGTAATCGTTTTTGCAAATGTCTCCTGCAGGCATGTAGTCCAAGTTGCTCTGACAACATAATTATATGTAGAAATCCTGGTGTGCAGGGGCACAAAACATGTCTTTAAGGACAGGGTTGAAAATTGTGCCTTTATCGTTAATGTTGTGCTTGAACCTTGTACAGAGTAAGCAAAATGTATTACAGCTGTGGGCCATACTCATTAATTATGGGAATTTCAAGCCAAACGGTTTTTATTTCTATTTTCACATGAACCAATCTGAAAATATTATATTTTATTCATTTTTTACAAAGTATTTTTAGCATCTGATTTACAGTAATGACAAACACATGGAACACATATGAACTACTTTTTTTTTCCTCCAGGAAACTACAATGCTAAGGCCTAACGAGACGACAAAGAATATTAGAAACAGCAGACTGGTTGTTATTTGTTAGTGGCTGACATGACAAGACTAAATGGGATATTTTGACAAAACGTCAGAGCACCCTGATTTTTTTAAATCAATTGTTATACTATGACTACTTCTGTGTCTGTGACTGTAGAAAATAGTTGGGTTTGCAATCTGCTCTAAGCATTTTGTCTCTTCTTTTGCACAATTCCTATTTTTAGTTTAGAACACTTTTTAGAAGTTTTTAATGACAGAGAATAAGTCAAACTTTTTTTCAAATGGCACCTTTCAAGGATCCTTCACAAAGTGCTGTACATTAAAAATAATTTAAATACAAAAACATACCATATAAAATATAAATAAAAAAGTAGGTAAGAGTTACAACAATAAGAATAGATAAACGGCTACAAAACTAATAACCTTTTGCACACCCTGGAACAAGGATATTTCCATACATATGGATACACAAAATTAACAGCGGTTGCACAGTGTTGTAGTCCCACCCCAGATAATTTTCCAACAACCAATTTCAAATATGAAAACTGTTTTTTGGGAAACACCAATGAGAAGGGTTGGTTACAATCTAAGTAGAGAACAAAGTAGGAGTATTTAAAACACAAATGAGAAAGGAATTCCAGTGTGTGGAAGCAACAGAACCAAATTAAATAATAGTAAAGAAGGAAAAAAAACACTGGTGCCATTATTAGAAGGGTTAAGAGATTTGAGCTCCACCAGGCTCTTTTCTCCTAGCGACAATGTTTAAAAAGGCTCCATGTCAAGTCCAAGCTGATAACACTCCGCAGCTCTGACAAACCAGCCTGGCGTTTTCTAAATGGGTGCACGACCCTGTCTCCAGTCATCTTGATTAGATTACAATAAGAGCCTTAGTGACAGGTCCTGGACATCTATGCAAAGCACTGATACTTGAGACCAGTTCACAATGCTGAGGATAAGGGGATGAAAGAGAAGCAGCGACCACTGAAGTTTGAAATACTTGCCATTTTGTGACATAATCAGTGACTGGCCGATCTGGACTGACAGCCCCTACTCACACTCACACAAACAAACGCCTTGAAAATAAGTTTTCTTAGGCAGGGAGGGCCAGCCTAGTTCTGCATTCTGTTGGGCTTGGCCCTGTGTTTTGTTTGAACACTGGTTGTCAGCATTCAGAAAAGACAAAGAGTTAAAGGCTAGTGAAAAGAATGGCACAAGAAGGAAGAGCATAAAGTAAAACAGGTTTATTAAAACAAAACGAAGTGCTCAGAATTAACATGGACAAGGATGTTATAGGTTAAGGCAGCTACACAGGCAACAGTAACAGCTGTCATTCTAAAGACCAAGAGGGAACTGCAGCGAATTTTAAGGACAGGCTAGAAACTGTTTCATTATAAGAAGCAGCAAAAGCAAGAATTACTTGTTAGAGTCTACACTTTAAAACAAACACTCAGTAATAAGAATACACTGTCAAAAGCTTGTCAATCTACACAGAAGAAATTATGAAGTGCAAAAAAGTCAGTTTCTCCAACACTTTTTCAATACCACTTTGAGCATGCTCAGTGATCCTAAAAATTATGGAATTTACTTTCTCCTTGGCAACATCTTTGCCATTAAGGAAAGGCTGGACACCATTTTTTATGTCTAAACTTTAAGATGGAGTACTGTAACTACACAGCATCTAATGAGTGCCAATACTTACAAAGAGTATTTTCAGCTTTGGCTATGCAATCTATAACACAGTTACAAATAATATCCATCCATTTTCCAAGCCACATTATCTAATACAGAGTTGAGGGGCAGCCAAAGCCCATCTCAGCAAGCAATGGGTGCAAGGCAGGATACACCCTTAATGGGATGCCAGTCCATTGTAGGAGACACACACAAACATGCACACACTCAAACCACTGACCATTTTTCCAGAAGCCAATTAACCTACCAGTATGTCTGTGGACTAAGGGAGGAAAACAGCACCCAAGGGAAACCCATGCAAACACGGGGAGAACATACAAACTGAACATGTAGATTGCAACCCAGGAATGTAACCCAGGTCCCCAGCACTATGAGACAACAAAGTTAACCACCGCTCACTCACAACCACCATGTCACAAATAATATCTGTCATTTCAAACCTGTCATTAAATGCTGTAGCAAATATCGTACATGTGTTGTAAATAAATTTACACGCTCCTTGTATTGAAATTCTAGATCACACACTTAAAACTACTGCCACATGAAGATTTTCCGAGCAAAAAAAATGTAACTAAATGATTTTTAAATTATTTACTAATACAGAATGATGATGATAAGGTGCCTCTAACTGCAAAACAATAGTGGTGAACTGAACCAGCACCCTAAGAACTACCTCATGCTGCCCCCTAAAATGTACAATTATTTTTCATTTGGGAAACAAAACAATTGCTTTGGATCAGTTCAATCAATAGCTGGTTCAAGTCAGAAACTGAAAGCCCACATAGAACAGAAGCCAACACTAGGACAGCCACAGCTGGAAGACACCTTGCCAAATTCAGAGCCAGTTCCACGAATAAACAGGGCTTGTACTCACTGGCCACTTCCAGGGATGCATTTTGGCTGATGGCCTCCCCCAGGTAGTTCCTGGCCACGCAGACGTAACTGCCCTCGTCCGGCTTGCTGCGGCGCCCGTGCACGATGCGCAGGAAGAAGAGCGAGCCACTGGGCAGCAGCATGCGGTGGGAGCGGGGGTCGTCCTTGTCGGTCTCCACCCGCTCTCCGTCCTTGTACCACTCCACTGTGGGGGTGGGCCGGCCCTCTGCCTTGCAGTTGAGGGTGGCCGGCTCCCCCTTGGAGACGATCAGGTCAGAGGGGTGCTCCACAATCCGAGGAGGGGAGTCCTCCTGGCGAAGGCGGGATCCTTTGACAAACACAGAAAAGAGGTAACTTTACTAACCCACAAGTGCTTTAACTGATTTCTGCCAATCCTGTTCTCGGCTAAGGAACCCATACAGCTAAAACAGATCAAGTTTTTCCTGAACCTGATTTTCTCAGGCATGTCCAGTTTATGTCCCTGAACCAAGCCAAGCTTCTAATCTATGTACTTGTTAATCTATTCTGTTCCTATTTTGTAACAAGAGGCAACCTCCTGGAAGGGTGGACTTTCCCTGAAGCTAAGATGGCTCAGAGAGAATGCCGGCACACAAGATGGCATCAACAGGCAAATGCTGAAACAAAGAAACAGCTGTGTGCCCTGCTCACTGATACCACCCCGGGCATGAGCTCTTCACTTCACTGCCCTCACAGAAGAGATACAAGAGCATAAGGACACTTACCACCAGATTCTTCAATAGCTTTTACCCACAAGCAGTGGGATTGGCAAATACATTTGGCCATACCCCTTGGACCACTCCTACACCATCTACCTCGTTGTAATCTTATTTATCGCAGTCATTGTTTACATGTCTGCATTGTTTACACTCAAGCTGTTTACTTGTACATTGTCTAATGTTTGTTTGTATACTGTCTTGATGCACTGTCTGCACTTTATGTTTTACACTTTTTTTAACAATCGAGAGACTTTTTGTAAGAATTCCATTGTACCAGCACCGGTTGTACCGGTTAGATATGGCAATAAAGTTTAAGTACAAGGTTCAAGGTCTATATAAAATTGACTATCGAGCCAGTAGCAGGTACACTGGAAGTTGGGGAAGCACTTCTGAGTGAGTGCACACTGCCACAGTTCCAGCCAGTGTAGTGTTTTACTGTACTGCCATAACAACTAGAACACTCATGATGAGAGAAATGGATTGTAAGAAATAAAATCTAAGGGACATAAACTGAATGGAATACAAACCTGATAAACCTGGACACATAGAGTGTGAGTATGGAAACCATTTCTTTTGAATAAACGGTATTGTCTTATAAAAGAAACATACCTGTGGCAGCTTTGTAGCCCCTGGTATTTAGACATGGAACTCTACGATAGTCAAGAAACTAAGAGCTAGGCTTTATTTTAGTTTGATGCTTTATTTTTTCTATTATTTCTTATATAAAAATAAACGTTATTAAACTGTCTGGCCTGTCGGGGTGTGTCTAATATTGGTTCCCATGTGGCATCACACAGGACAGATTTCAGAAACACTGTGCTCACTCAATTATTTCAGACAACCTCGATGGACGTGTGTTACATTGCATGTATCACCTTAAACTATCCTGCTATGTGCTCACCTGTAACTTCATCTGCAGGACAAGAAATTGTATCCTTCAGATAAGACATTAGACTAAGGTCCTAACTACTTGATCATTAAATGATCCCATGGAATAGAGTTAAAAAAGCAGGAGTGTTAACTCCAGTGTGCTGGCTAAATACCAGTCTGGATTTATATAATCTTGCCTCGCTAAGGTTTATATTTGGTGAGCTCCTTAATATTTTTTTTTCTCTAACTAATCTGTTGTATTGCAGGGCTGCTGGAAAAGAATGGCTGCCAGTGGGGGGTGAATTTTAGTGATGATACTTTGAGATCCTTCAAGATAAAAGCTGCTACTTTATAGAAATGATTTTCTCTATGTCAAGAAATACATCGACCCCACTGGAATTACCATCCACCATTAAAGCCTTGAGACAAATTAACAGAAAGCACAGTCTTATGGAACACCAAATGAATTATGGGAGTTTTTCATGACACGTTTAGATCAGCATGCAGGTCTTCTTAAAAGTCAAATCTTGCAATGAAAATTAAGGTTCTGCTTCACTGCACTGCTCTTTAAACTACCCATAAAATTCATATTGCCAAACAGCTTCAAGTTCAACCCTCAAGCCTTTTAAGGGAAGATGGTTTTGCATGGCAGTTCTATATGTGATAACAACTCATGCATTTTTTTTGCTTCATTAATGATAAGAAAATTTTAAACTTGCTAAACTTGTTTCTATTCATCCTTTAATTATCTCCAATTTTTCAGTGCTGTAGAAAAAAACACTAAATCTGGGACTCTGTAATTAAAAACCTTTCTGAGGTCAGAGCTGAAAGCCAAAATAAACACAACTGAGATGCTTGTGAGAAGGGTGTCACCAATTATTGCTTGATGTTGAAACATAAACGCACTTAGTGAAAGAGAAAAACAATCTTCCCATCACAATTTACTGATCAGCAATGACCGTTAAGCTCTTGGAAAAACCTGGTTAACATGCTAATCATGAAGATACAGAACCAGGGAGGTTTTGGAGTCTGAGAGCAATCAGCTCCAATTAAATAGGTTTGGCTTAATTGTCTCAGCAGTGCTATGTATTTTTAAGCAAGAGCAAGGAAATTATTCATTGTTTCATCTGACTGTTAACTGTCTAAGTGAGGAAGTTCATTATAGTATGAACTCAGCAGCAATTATCATTCTTATCATAAGAACAAATGCTGATTTGCAAATTTAAAGGAAATCCAGCAATAGAAAATAAAACCAAAAACTGAAAACAGAATATCTCTGAACCTCAACAGCTGGAACATAACTAAAAACATCGTCATCTACTGTTACAATCATCATTATTGTTGTTCTATTTAATTTAACAGTATATATTTCTCTAATCATAGATTGCAAATATTTTTTTTAAGAAAAATATATTGAGCAGAAGAGGATTTTCTCTGAAGCCCCTGAGACTGTTCATTGCAGGAGTTCACGGGGAACAAAAGGTTGCCTGTCAAGCAGACTGACTGATGTTCTCCTTAATTAGTGTTCTGTAAAGCAGGAACCATAGTGAACTGAAACATTGATCACTGACCCAGCATTTAACAGAGAAACACCTTTGCACAAGTACACAAACCAGTCTCATCAACAATGCTACAATTATTAAGACAACAAAGTAATGAATGAACAAATGTAACAACAATAAAGAATATTTGTTTTTTAGAGAAATTATCACCTTGGATGATGAAACAGTCGAGGCCCTTTAAATATCTAAGCAGCTCATTGTTGATGTGACATTTTGCAATGTATTCTCCTTCAGTTTTTATGAGGCAATTTAATATATGAAATCACTGAATTATGGTTTTTTATAGAAAAGCTTTACAGTACTTTAATTACATAAACAAAGATAGTACACTATTAATAATTTGTTTTGACCATAACATGACCTTTCTTTTATTTACTAATCATTAAGGCTGAACCTGACTGGCATATAAGAAAAGGCAAGCAACAAATAATGTCTCCATTGATCCCTGCTTTTAAGGTTTTGTTAAATGGAAATGTCCCATTGGGACATAACTCTCACCTGTACCTGTTCTTAAGATTTAGCACTTAGGATCTGATTTTGACACTGGAATGATTGGTTGTTTTTAAACTATGTCAATAAAAATACAAATATTTTAAGTCAGGATTGTGTGATATCTTCTTCAATTATAAACTATAACTTAATCTAAAACATTTAAAACTCTTATAAAAAAGAGTCTCACAATTAAAAAAACCCTTCCAACTCTAACCCAATAAATCCATTTTTGATGTTAAGTGCATTTAAACAACACAATTCTTTGCAGAATTTCCAGACTTCATTTAGTCTGAAAAGGAAACACAAACTATGTGAAAAACATTTCAAACTGAATTGCTCGTCCTTTCTCTCTCCTAAACAATTGAATGTGTAAGAAGAATCTAAATGTAAACAGATGAATCCATTTTGGTGTATGTTTAAAAACAAACTCAGGACCAAGGTGATAAGTGATATTCTCTGGCTGCCGTTCACAGATTTGGTATTATTTTTTTAGTTTATGCCCTCAGATTAATCAGGTTCAAATACTAATTTAAAATGGGTACAGAATATACTGATATCAGTAGATCTTTTCTGTCTATGAAATGAATAAAAAGCAAATGGTTGTTAATTATTCAGCATTAATCTACAACCCTGATTCAACTCTGATTCTTACCCTTTATTTTGAATTGTGTATTTTTGCCAGGTGTATCAGAAATCTTCCTACCACAAGCTTTAAACTTTACCAATGAATTCTGTATTCCTCATAGAACACAAACCCTTTCACCCTCAGTGTTTTCCTGAAGCAGAAATCTCATTTCTAACAGGCTCCATTGTGCCTTTGCTACTTATTGGGAACCAGACAGAGAGTCCAGGCCAGAGCCCCGAGGCTAGATTATTTTTTTCACCATTCTTCTTTGTAACAGGTGTAATTACTTTCAAAAATCTTATATAGGAAAAAAGGGAAAATATACCATTTAAATGTTTCCAAAAACCTCCTTATTCAAGACTCTTATTTATAAAACACGCCCACCTTTCATCAACACCTCATCCATGTACACACAGACAGCCAAAGCTCTAACAGGAGGGCTCCTAGTGAATACCTCCTGTAGCTCCCAGAATCTGTATAGGCATTCTTAAAGTAAACCGACACCCCAGAAGCTGATGGAAACAAAGCCCTGGGTCAGTGAAGTGCTTGACTGACACCCAATGAAGGTTAACACCAGATTTGGCTGGGAATCAGCCCTCAGGGATCGAGGCCCATGACAGCCCAGCAATAATCCCCTACTCAGGTTCATGGTGGGAAAAAATCAAAACAGCACTCCGTGCTTCACCCATCTTGTTACTGCAGCTCCATTACCTCTCGGATACAGGAGGAGGAAGGGCTTGTTTGCTGTGAAAACACTCGGCCACCATCCACAAATAATTCCTCCATAGGTTGTAATTTGCCTAGTGCATTCTTTTCCACTGATGCTTTCCCAATGCGTATCCACAGAAAAAGAAAACGGGCGGCCAAGCATTTTCCATCGAACCCTTTACAATTAACTGAGTAATGCCAATAGAGCATATCATGATATTTTCTTGTGCCTGTCATGGTGGATTATTTGTGCATAACAAATAGTTTTTCTCCTGAGGACAGAACAGGGTGCTGTAGCACCAGGATTTACTGATCTCACAGGACTTTTCTTTAT